ATGGTTATTTAAACATTACTCAACATTAAATAAATCTAAAATTAAATTATCAAAAGTTTAAAAGATTAAAACCCAAAGTATACACATGAGTCTAAAATTACCCACCATAATTTCATATTTAATTAATATTAAATAATAGACTAAACTAAAATTTAAACCAGAAAGAGAAATTAATTACTAGACATCAAATTAAATAATTGAAATAAATAAGTAAAAGGAGTTCAAAAACTCCAAAAAATTAAATCTAGATTAGAAGTGGAAATATGGAGCATGCATAAAATTTTCAAATTTAATTGATAGAAGGAGATATATGACATATTTGGTGTATGTATAAGCTAGACATGGAAAAAAAAAGAAGAAGAAGAAGAAACTTCTAAGGTAAAAGAAGGAAAAAAAATACTCTCTATTTTTTTTTTATTACTGAAATAAGAAGTTAAAGATATGAAAATGTAGTTATTTTTCTCACAAATTTTGGTTTTTAAATTTATGTCCATTGATACAAGTTATATGATATATTATTATTTATTTTGATTAAAGAATTTTTTAATTACCAAATATTTATTTCTTTAGTATAATTCAATATTTAAATACTTGAAAAACTATTATTTGTACTAATAAAAATGTGAATTGAAAGAAGAAACTCCAAAGAAAATCAAAAAGCGCAAAATGGGCAACATTTTGTCTTTTTTTTTTTATTCTTTTTAACTTTCCTCATTTTATTTTTTGATATCCATCTTATAACGACATAAAAGATACTTATATGTCATTCTATCATTTCAACCAAATTAATTTTAGCATTTCCTTAAAATAAATGATAACATTTCTTATATTAAAATTCAATATAATATAAGATGGATATTATTATTGATAGTTGATTTGAATATATTATATCTTTTAAGATAGGTTTGAAAACTAAATTTGACCTTCAAGAAAGCAGTATGATAATTTATAACTGGATAACAAAAAGGTTTTGCAAAAATCTATAACAAAAATCATGAATTAAATTTTAAAATATTAAAATAAAATTAAACTATTATGAAAAAAATAAAAATATCTATCACATATCAGAAAAATCAGTCAAAAATTAGTTTTATTTTGGGAGCATACACATTTAGATTAAAGGGGTATCTAAAGCAACTGAAAGTTTGAGTACCTTAATGAATAGTATATAATCGTAGAGGACCAAAAAGTTTAGAGACCAAATTGCATCTTGTATGTTATCTGTTGAATTCGAAAATCTACCGGACTCTCCAAATGTCGTCGAGTTATAACCTAATAGTGCCGACAAGTCCCAAAAAAATCCATATTTTTTTGGATTTTTTACAAAAAAGAAAAAAGATATCCACACATGTCCTGAAATATTATAAACTCAAATTGAATCTCAAAAATCATTTATAAATAGTTTTTGACTAAAATATAATTTTGAAATTTTAAACCTTTAAACCTCTTTTTTTTTTTTTTTGTGATGAAATAGTCTAAAATAAATTTCTATGAATTTCTTGTGAAAAGCTCTTTCTATGAATTTCTATCGATATTTTAATAATCTGAATGATATGTTTTTCTCTAATAAAACAAAATATGGTGAGTTTTATACTATAGCTTACATAATATCTTCATCAATTATTTCAATATTTCTCTCTTTTATTTCGTTTTTATCATTAAATGGTTGAACTAAGTTTATGTATATGCATTTTATTAAAGAAGAGTAAAGGACATCTTACTAAGCTAAAATAATAATTAAGTGGTATAATTGCAAGAATTCATAATTGAATAATCTTTTTGAATCTTTACAATAGATAAGGAACTGATTAGTTATTAGCTACATACTTTTCAACGTCAATGAACATGTGTTTTTATTGAATTGGATCATTTAATTTTCTTAAATTTAATTATTGATGTAGCAAAAATTTATAAGAAAGAAATAAATACTATTGATTTGAAATCTAGATATCGGTCTACTACAACTCGTTGAATTACGCATAAATATCGGAAAATAAGCTTTAATTCCGTTGATTTAAAGAATGTCGAAATTCGGATAAGCATGAGATATTCTCTCATAAACTTTTATTAATCAAAGAAAGGTATGTTTTTCAGCCTCCAAGTCATATCTAAGTAGGAAAATTCGACAAAAACCCTAAAGCAAATAAAAAAGGAAAAAAAAACCTCTAAAATAAGAAAAAAAATTCTAAAACAATAGTAAAAGTCAATTTTGAGGGCTTAAACGGTGTTTTTTATTTTATTTTATTTGCTAAAATGACCCCTACATCATAGACATAACCCATAAGTTTTGCTCGTTGGCCCATTTGGCATCGAACTAGATCTAAAAAACCTCAAAATTGGGCCAATAATTTTTTTTAGCTTCTGCCGCACTCATATCGTTATATGAATTTCAAGACCCGTTGGTCCACATCATTCCCCCCAAGAAAGAGAAAATTTGCCCCCAAATTATTTGTATCATCATCTTCCAAAGAATAACCACAAAATGGAATAAAGTGCTTAACATTGAACACATCGACGGTGCGAATATGACTAGGTAGCTTGAAGTGATAAGCATTGAGGTTAATCTTCTCAACTATCTCCATAGGCAACTCTTTTGGGAATACATCATGAAATTCAGCAACAAGGGGGACTACTACTTCCGGTATATCTCATTAGCTCCAACTTCCTTTACTATCAACATATAGACCACCCTCGAATCCTGCAACTTCTCTTCAAACCGAGCTAACGACACCGGCTTGCTAATATCACCTATAGGTTTGGAAACAAATAGAACCTTACAAGACACAAGCATAATCTTTACACCATTAAACATGAAGTCATATGTATTATCTCGCTCCTCATGAATTACACTCCTATCATATTGCAACGACCTATCCAATATTAAATGACACACATCCATTGCAATCATATCACACCACATATCATCTTTATATTTAGAGCCAATAGAAAGAGAAACTACAGACTCATTGAGAAACGAGTTACCTCTCCTCCTTTTTTAAGCCAAGTCGGTTTGTAAAGTATAGGGTGTTCCCCTATCTTGAGACCCAATTTCGTATCGCTTGATCGAAATAATATTCTCATAGCTATCATCATCAATGATCAAATGACAAATCTTATCCCAAATTGTGCAAGTGGACTGAAAAACATTGCTCCACAACTAATCATTATCAACGATTTTAGGAGTCAAGTAGGACCTCCTAACAAACGATACTATCCCCTTATAGCCCATCATAACCTTTTCTTCTAGGATATCTCTATCATTATAAATTGGTTCACCGATCAACTCTACATCACCTTCATCACAATCTTTAGCATCAATAAGAAGTGCTCTCTTCTTTATCTTTCGACACTCGAACTATTGTGTCTAACTCACCATAACCAAAGCACTTTATATTAAAACCAAGTTGCCTTACTACTCTGTTTAATAACTATGGAGTTCTTGTTACCTTTCCCTCCTACTCGGACTACACCACCATAACTATTTCGCCACTACTACTTCCCGTGCTAAAAGGGTTAATAAAGCTACTTTGACAAGACTCCTTCTCAACTCGCAATGCTTTTTGAAAGACAACAAAAAGATACTCGGGGTTGAACATATTAATAAAATCCACGATCCGTGATTGCGGACCACCAATATATCTTGCCACCAATTGATCCACCATCTTTTGTAATTCATTCCGGGCTAGCAACTAGTAGAACTCGGTGGTATAATCATCTACCGATCTGGGCCCCTTATCTTAGTTTCGCATCCGTTGGTATATCATCCTCCGAAAGTTATAGGGTAAGAAAGCAATACGCAAGTACTTCTTCATTTTTTTTCCAAGAATTAATCCTAGGTTTATCCATCCTATTTTGGATTAGTTTCAACTACTCCCACTAATCCGTTGCTCTCTTTCTAAATCTAGTGGTCGTTAAAGACACATTTGTCCTCAGGAACCTTTTTAAACTCCAAAATATCCTCCACTATCGATAACTAGTCCAAGAACTCTTTTGTTTAGAGGTTACCATAAAATTTGAGAATCTCAATCTGCATACCAGTTCATAATCTCTCACGGGGATCCTTTATTGTCTATGTGGAACATCTTCTTCATCCTCCTCATCATCCATTCTAGTATCCGATGTCTCCCAATTATGATGGCGGGCTTGGTTTCGGTGCTCTCTATCCTTGTTCATCATTAGCACATCCATCTACTACGCCAATGTCCCTATCCGTTGTGTCAACTGCTATAATGAATACTCCATCATATCATTCATCCGCTCAATATATTACTCTAGATGCACCATATCGGTGCGCTCATAGATCTTATCCATATCCCTTTGTTCTTGTCTCTTTGGCAACATGGTTAGAACAGACGACGACCGACCTCCGATACCAACCGACGTAGCGAAAACTTACAAGAAAGAAATAAATACTATTAATCCGGAATTTAGATGTCGATCTACTACAACTCGTTGAATTAAACACAAATACCAAGAAATAGGCTTCAATTTTATTAATTTAAAGAATGTCAAAAATTTAGATAAACTTGAGATACTCTCTCATAAACTTTTATTAATCAAAGAAAGCTACGTTTTTTCACCTCTAAGTTATATCTAAGGAGGAAAATTCGGCCAAAACCCTAAATCAATTGAAAAAGGAAACAAATACCAAAAAAAAAAAAAAACTCGAAAATAAGAAAAAAAATCTCAAAAACTAGTAAAAGTCAATTTTAAGAGCCTAAACAATTTTTTTGGCCAAAATACCCCTACATCATGGGCATAGCCCATGTATTTTGCTCGTTAGTCCGTTTCGCATCGAACTAGGCCTAAAAACCCTCAAAATTAGGCCAATAGTTTTTTTCAACTTCGTCGTGTTTATACCGTTCCACGAATTCCAAAGCTCGTTAATCCGTATCAATTATATATGCTCGCTACATAATTTACTATTTATTTCAAAAAATTCAAAAATTTTCAAATTTTAAAATTAAAAGAACTCTCACAGGAAACTTTGTCCTGCCAAAATGGCAATTGGCCACCGAAAGATCTCCAATCTCGCCTCCACCGTCAACGGCAGAACTCCACTCAAAGTACACAAAGCTAGCCTATCGCCATCAGCAATTGAAGATCTCATATCAGTAGCTGAAGTCTCAAATCAACACCGATTTGCTTCAAGTAAATCGTTTTGAACACTATCAGTTTCTCCCTTTGCTTCTTCGAATTTATTTTTCGATTATGTAACTAAATTGAATTGATTTTGTAGGCAGAAGAAGTGCTTGCCTCTTTGGCGTTTCCATTGATAAAGCTTGTTGGTTTAATTGTGGAAATGGTTAATGAAGGACAGTTCAGTGGAATTATAATTGATGATGATATTAATCACGTAATCAAATCCTGTATTGGTGCTTTTATTATTATTATTATTTTCATTTTTAGGTTAGTGAATATTTTTAAATCTGTTTGGAAGAGGAATGGAGCAGTTTCTGGTGGAGCCAGAGATCGAAATGTTCAGATTAGTGCATTCGAGGTATAAATTTTGTATTTTTTGAAAGTTAAGATTTACCTATTTATTAGATTATAATTTTTTCAATCCTTTTGCCGATTACTGTGTGAATCTTCTGGGCGTGCAAACGCTTAATATAGGTGAAAATTCTCCCATGTTATCTGGTTCTAAACTTCCCCTCCTCGATCACAAAGAACTACGACTTTGCAACTAAAACTTGTGTGATGCTGTTGCGTGTTGTGGCAAATTTGACTGTTGGGATTGGCCTTGTATTTACACTCAACCAATATTCCATGTATGCAGGGAGAAAATTTTTCTGCTAGAGCTGCCATAGCTGGCAAAGAACTCATAGAGAAACGAAAGATGCATTTGACACAATTTGTCAAACTCCTTAAACAAATTGAAACCCATGTTAATTCGAGCCAAGCTGAAATCCTCCAGAACCTTGATAACCACCATGGCTTCCTCAAAAAATTCATTCAGAAATCCATATGTTTAGTGTCTACCCTTGATAGTGAAAACCTTGACACTGTTGTCATCACAGTAAATCTTCTCCGAGCCATATTCCACCTTGTAACTACAGTCCTTGGATCAGTAAGGGATGGCGTGGAGGACCCAATACAGGGATTATCACAACAGATGTGTAATCCTATGGTGGAATATGTTAAGGGCCTCAAGGATGATATGAAGAATGGAACGTGCATGCGCTTATTGGCCATGGTGGACGAGATGGAAAAAAAAAAAAAAGATGAAAGATGTCAGGGTTGAGTTGGAGGATGCAAGGAAGAAAGTGAGACTGGTTGAAGAGGGGAAGATTGAAGCTGTATGCAAGCTGAATGAAACCATAGAAAGAGTGAGGAAAATGAAGGAACAACTGAGCTCCCTTCCTGAAGCCAAAAGAGGGCTTATAAAATCTTCATTTTCCCAAAAGGTACATTCGCTTGACTCATCCATCCTTTATTTTCGAGCATTTGATTTGAATTGATTAAGTCACATGTATGAACATGGGAGCATTGCTTTCGCGTTTTGACCATCGAGCACTGATATGGTGTAGAAGCTGGCACACAGAATCAGCAAAAGTTGGCACACACGGAGTCTTTCACTTGTGTAAAGATGTAGTGGTTTTTCTAGAAAACGTAATGAGGGAGGTGCCGGCTTTAGCCACTCCAACAGATCACTCTGCAACTACTTCGTTTAGCAAGGATGGTAAAAATTTATTATTATTATTTTTTTTCTACTGCAACCATAGTTTATCATTTTAAATGAGAAGGAAAACGAAGTCCCAGCTGGGTGTCTTTACAAATACACACACACAACTTGGAGCATGCTTTATTTCTTCTTTGACATAATACTGAAATGAATCAGTGAGGAGTTTAGAAATTCTACGAGTGATAAAATTAGTTGTTTCCATCAGCTGTTCATTCTAGCAACCAGTTTTTGTCTCCTTAAAGCAAAAGGTTTGACTCCCCAGTGTCAGCTTGAAATCTGTTTGAATAATCACAGAGACCATTAAACGTGCCTTGGTATCTAACACACGATCAAAGCTCTTGTATGTGGGTGTCATTGTTCCGTGGTTTCACTCCCAACTCCAAATATTCATGTGCAGTAGGGTCAACTTAACTCGAGGAAAAACGTTTGAAAGTAACTCACTTGGAAACATTTTCTTTTCTTTTAGCTATTTGACTGTTTTGCAGGGACATTAAGCATCTGGATGGAGTCTCCATTCTTGAATACTCTGATTCCTTTGGGCTCGTCACCTTCAGCAGTAAATCAACCAGTTGTTTCATGAGGCACATTGCTCCCTGAATACTTCCTTAAAGTTGTCGGATTTGCATTACGGTGCCATTTCACTATTTGGACTCAGATGCATGATTAAATAGCAAATTAGCTCTAGACTCTAATAGTACCGTAGCAGTTATGTATGGGAAAACACTCTTGCGCTGTTAAAGTTTCTCCATTTATAAGATTGGCTCCAAAACAGGCTGATTTCATCTTTTTGGTTTGCAGAATGAAAGTGCACTCTATGGTGACCCTCACAGCCATTGGAACACAGTGTGATTTACTGAAAAAAAAAATGAAGTATGATTCAATTCTTTTTTAGTATAATGGTTCTATACTCATGCTTAGATCTGCACATTGTCTGAAGCTCATCTCTTACATTTTAAGCTTTTGATGGTTAGTATTTCATACGAAAAACATTCATTGATGTTAGTAAGGCACTTTGTCCCATTGGAGAACTAAGCCTCGAGAACAAGGTAATAAGGCAGTTTGTTTCTTGAAACCCAATAACTTTATATTTTGCATTCCTTGAGGTCTCCAACCCTTTGTGAGTTTATGTAGATACATAGTCTTGAAGACGATTTGGAGGGTTAACTGTTTATAACTCCATGAATGTTTTATGTTTATTATACTGAAAAAATTGACTTTTGATGTAGTGATGCTTCTCGTTTATATATCAATGGAGGATATAAAAGTGGAGAATAAAGGGCTGGAATATATATTGAGCCAAACCCAATGACATAACATGTGATTAGATGGAATGTTCATCTCGTGGGAATCCAATCCTTGGATGTTGATTGATTTTCTCCAACTTGGCACTTATCAACAGAACCATTGATGATTTGATGCTCTTAAGGAGTAGATGAAAAACACGAAATTTTCACTTTTTTGTTTGGATTAGCCTATTTTCTCCAAAAGTAGGCGCATAAGTTGCTACAAATTGTGCTGCATCAGATGAATATAAATTACATCTTGATGTTGAGTCCTACAGGTACAGATTATCAATTTGACAGTGCATGATCTTCACCTCTCTTTGATCTCCCAACTGCAATTAATTGTGAGTTTTGCAAATTTATGAAACAATGCTGAAAAACATGCAAGCTAGCTAGAAAACCGGGGGAAGGTTGGAAATTTGAAGGAACAAAAAGACTTAAAACAACTCAGGGCCAACAATAGTTCCATGATCGGACTCATTGAAAACATGAGATAAAAGAAACAAAATAGTCTCAAAAAAGAGTTTCATTTTCTTCCCCTCGTTTTTTTTTCAAGTGCATGATAGAAGCGTTAAATAACTTTCTTCTCTTTAATTCTCCTCCAATTGTATAGTTTAGATCCCAACTTTTCATATCGAATTCCATAATCGACACCTACATGATTCATAAGGACAATCAAACAATATTTTGCTATACTTTGAGAAAGTTTGATACCCTAAATATTCTAAACAAGATAAGATTTTAAAAGAAAGTTTATTTAGTCCTATGCTTAAAGTTTATTTAGTCCTATGCTTGACGATGCAGATGGTAGCTTTTCGTTATGAGGGTAAAGAGAAGGGATTTGAAATTTCAAAACGTATATGGTTTGATTGAAAATTAATGCTGCTTACTTTAGCCAAGGTAATACATATATAACTTTGTATTGCATCACCCATCTGGATGACGTTACAACATAAGAATTTGCAGTCTCACTATATATCTGCATGCCCAATTTTTATCGGGTTTTAAAGGCTGTTCGGAATTTCGAAGGGACAATTACAACAAGATAATGGCAAGAGTTTTTTCTTACTGACAGATACATTAATATGTTTCTGCCTAGGCAAATATACATTAGATTAAAATTAATTGCCCATATATGTTATTTGGCAACTGCTGGACAGGTTCGTCTAGACATTTGGAGAGGTCAGATGCTTGTGCCTGTCAATTTAAAACTAAAATGGATGTCCTCGATGTTCTCCAAATTGTGATATCCGTGCAGGGCTAGCTAGTCTGATTTATTCTTTCAGCTATAGATTCCAAGTCTAGAATGTAAAGGTTTGTAGTGGCCTCTTGTTGTTTCAAGAGACATGTTTGAGTTTTAGTATCCATCAAGGCTGAATTCCCATTAATCATTCTCTTGACTTTTGAAATAGGGAATGAGTCAATTAAATATCTATGTGTATTATTCTCCAAAGTTGACAACTATACATTGTTTTTTTCAGTGGTTTTCCAGAAACCAACAGTAGAAAATATCTTTAGGTGGAAACTGAACAGTAAGGTGCATATCTGATATGGTATCTCTTGTCAATTTACAGGCATTGATTAAGATTTGGTTATCTCCGCATGGGATAATGTAACAAGATAAGAAAATGTTGCTGTTGTACGGAGGATTCAACCAGAATTCAACACCAAGTGGCCAAACCAATCTATATAAACCCCATGAAGGCCTATATTTTGGTATAGCCACTGAGAATAAGATTTCATGTATGCTACTACAATGGTTGGAGAAGCTCCCAATCTCCCTCAGAGGCTTCCAATATCTCAGTCTATAATTACGTCAAAGAATGGGAATGTTGGAAACCTCTGGAGGAGATTGAGAGCTTACTCCCCATCACTCATGACTCTACAGTACAATATCCTTCTCACCATTTGTTTCTGTATAAGGATGTTGAAGATCCAACTTCTTCTGAACTCTCTCCCTCAACTGCCATAGAGCTTGCCAATCCTTGTCGATTGTTGCTGTGTAGCAGTCGAGGTGAGGGGTTCGGAAAATGTTGGCTCGAGTTCAGCTTCGAATTCCTGGCCATTGGCAGTTAAAAGTCCAGACGCTGCCTCGCTTTACAGAATTTTCTTCCCATGCTTTTTTTTATTTTTTTCAGTGCTAATTTTCTTCGCATGCATGTGCACCAATTTCTTTGCATGCGAGGTTTCAAAATATTAGCCGAGGTTTTGGTTTGTTTTGTTTTAATGAAACATCATGAGTTATTTTTGGTTCTTGTAAAAATAATATGTAACCATTGATTTTTTGTTATTTATTTATTAAATGGAAGTGCTTTCTCTCCAGTGGATGGCATAATCAAGCATTGTGAAATTTTTGGTAGTGAAAGACAAAAATTTTAATATATACCTTCGTATTTCGTGAATTAGGGAAATTTCTTTTTGTTTTCTTTTTATTTTTTATGTAAGCTATCCAAAGAAGAAGGAAGATTTTGGATATTGGGGATAGATTGAAATTCATCCATTTATCACTCTTCTGGCCTCTCTTTTTTTTTTTAATCTTATTTTAAAATAATATTGTTTCCATTAGATTTGCATGTTATTTTGAAAAATAATTAAGTTATTTTAATTTGAGATGGTGTTATTCTTACTTCACTGTTTTTGTAATAAATAATTTTACCTTATTTAATATGCTTCTTAATTACTTAAATTAACTCTATAATTCAAATTAAAAATAAGCTACCTTAATTTATTCCATTAAAAGTAATATAAAAAAATACGGCAAATAATAGAAAAAACCTATTATTTCAAGATTTTTGAAGAAAATAAGGCAATACTATGGCAAAAGACAAAAACAATTTAATTCTAGATTCAGACCGATGCGATATATATGCATAAAATTTGAGTGAATTAAACAAGCACTGTATCTGCTTTTTTTATATATATATATATAAGTTCAGAGAAGAAATTCTTTTACCATACTTTTAATTTTAGGAAAACAAACTTATACATACATACATATATATATATATATATATATATATATATTCAGTATTTGAAAATCACTCCCAAATACATTTTTAAATATTATTTGAACCTCATAAACTCATTAAATTCAGTATTTGAATATCAAAAACCAAGTTTTGGTCGATAACAAATCTGGTCCACTCGATCGGTAGCATTTTTTAGTCATTCAAACGAGCCAAAAATTCCATTAAACAAAATCATTACTAATGCATGCAAATTAAAAAAAAAAAAAAGAAGGAAAAATGAAATGGGAAAATTGGTTGCGTTCTCCATTGCCACGGTTACTTTGTCTTTACATATATACACTCCCATCCCATGATATTTAGCCGTTAAATTAGTAACTATTTTTAATTAGAAAAAATATTTATTTTTTCTGGTAGATTTTATCATTCTCTATGAAGCGGTTAAAATTTAAATTTTCAAAAAATCTAAAGAAAAGAATATAATTATCTCTTGTGTTATAGACAAATTAATATTATGGGAGAGAAGAAACATATAAAATAGCCTTAAAGCAACTCGTATTTGTTTTCAAATTCAAAAGACAAAGTTGCTTTTTCACATATAAGTGTGTTTTTAAAATCCAAAATGATCATATTTAATATAAAAAAAATTAATGAATAAATAAAATCTAAATATGTAATATACATGACCTAAAACCTTCATAGAAATGTAAATGTATTATATGAATATTTTGTAAATTAATAAAAGGTGCCTTTATCGAATAAGTGAATGAAATTATGGATTAAAATTATGTGGTGAAATTGCAAGGATTGGAAGCTAAGGATTAAAGTGTTAAATGCAATAAAGTAAGTGGCGGATGGTATAATTGATAGGATTAAGGAAATGATTGTGATTTAAAATGACAAAGAATTAGGTAGGAATGTTAAGGAAAAAACTAAAAGAAAATGAAATGGTTAAATTATCGAGTGGAGATTTAAATAAAATTAGTATGGCTTAACTAAATCTAAAAGGAAGGAAAAGTTTTATACTCAAATTATGTATGAGTGGACCTAGTGTCCCATACTCATTAGGGACCTTATGAATGGTTAAATGCCCGCTTCCGCTAATGCATTAGATAAGAGAAAGAGAGGAGGCTTCTTGACATGTATTTATTGCATGTCGAATGTAGGTTAATGTCGGTAATACCCTCGACCTATCTAGGTCCTACGATAGAGGTGTTACAGAATGGTATCGAGCAAAGATTTACCTTAGCTATTTAAGTTAGGATGACCGAATAAGCATATACAAGTCATGTCTTGGCGGCAAGTAAAATCCAAAGATATGTGATGCATGG